CAATTAATTTAAAATTAATTAAAAAGAATTGTAAATAAACTTATAAATAAACAATTTATTTATATAATATTATAACATTCATGTTCAAAGTATTATTCATTTTTCTATAATTTTGATTTAGATTAAAATTATATAACTATGTGATATACAATCCTATTTGTATTTAATTAGTATATCCGTTATGATACGATGTATCTTCAAATTTTTTTATTTTCGCAGGTACTTTCGAAGAACTTCTACTTTCTTTTTCCGTTCCTGCTAATGTGAAGATCATCTGCGACCGTAACGTAGGCAGCGACACAATTAGCACTGTGCACGGGCTCCGAGCGATATCAATGGCCTGGGTCATTCTCGGCCATACGTGCATTATTGTTTTTAAGTATTCGGATAATATGGAGTATCGCAAAGTGGTAGAGAAGCGATTCCTCTTCCAGACCATCACAAACGGCGCTTTCAGCGTTGATACATTTTTTTTCATGGGTGGTTTGCTCGTGAGCTTTCTGTATTTCAGAACCAATGCCAAGGGAGACCTAAAGAGACTCACACAGGGCACGCGAGGTTTCGCCGCAGGCACCCTAAAATTTATTGGACTCCTTGTGTATCGATTTTGTAGGCTCACAGCGCCGTATATGTTTATTCTGGGTGTAGTCGAGATCTCGATGAAGTATTTCTACACAAATTCTGTTTTTGAGCCTCCTACTGCAGATCACTATAACTGTCCCAATTACTGGTGGAGAAATTTGCTCTACATCAATACTTGGTTTCCCGTCGATCAAATGGTGTGTGTTTTTTTTTATTTCTTCTCTATAACAGAGAGAATTCATAATTCTTTAAATTTTTCTGATATTGACTGCATAATTATTTTTAAATGTAATATTTTATAAAAATAATTATATAATACAGAGTTTCAATTTCATATTATTTATCTCTCCAATTCTAATTTAATCTCTGTATTAATTTTTTTCAATTGATCCTTTTTCGGGGATTTTATTAATCTTATTATGTCTCCATCAAACAAAGATGTAAGTGTACATTGTAATATTACAGTGTATGCTTTGGAGTTGGTATTTAGCGGACGATACACAGTTCTATATTGTGGGTGGAGTGATTTTGGTACTGGCTACGAATCACTTCAAAATCGCAGCTTGCGCGTTAGTCGGTCTTCTAGTAAGCTCATGGATAACTACCGGCTATATCGCTTTAGTTAACAATCATATACCGAGCATGGACGATCCGTTGGCCCTTTTCGACAAGATCTACGATAAACCATGGACGAGATTAGGTCCTTATCTGATCGGCATGAGCGTCGGCTACTTCCTCTTTAAGACTGATTGTAAAGTAAAAATGTCTAAGGTACGATGTTTCCAAGAGAAAGTACATTCAACGAACATATTTAAAACAATTTAAAAAATGTGTGAGATTGTTATATCTCTTAGTGTCTTTATGACATGTGTATGTTTGAATATTCTTCCTTGATTATAAACTTCATTTCTAGACTACCGTTGTTGTTGGATGGCTCTTGTCTTCTGCGTGTCTCTTGAGTTTGCTTTATGGTCTTTATGAGGCAGAACTTACACCTGTCACTGCAGCTGCGTATTCATCTTTGAGCCACAGCGCGTGGGCGCTAGGTTTAGCGTGGATCGTAATAGCATGTAGTACTGGCTACGGCGGTGAGAAATAAAAACATATATGTTGATGAATCATTGGATTAACTGTAATAAATATTAGACTGATCAATTTATGTGAACTACATTTGGACCATTGTGAACTGGAGTGTTAAATCGGTATTGTTTCAGGATACGTAAATAAGATTCTATCGTGGCCTCTTTTGTACCCGTTCAGCAGAGTAACTTACTGCTCCTATCTAGTTCATCCACTTGTGATCCGTCTAACCGCTATGAATCTAGACTCTCCGTTTCATTTAGGGAAGGATATAATGGTAAGTCAGTAGCTAAGGAGAAAATTTTATGATTAACGATTAACAGCGGATTGTCATAAAACACTTTATTTTTTCAGATGATAACATTTCTGGGGCAGCTATCGCTGTCGTACACATTGTCATTTATAGTGTCACTCGCCTTTGAAGCACCGGTGGTCAGTATGCTAAAGATTGTCTCACCGAAAAAGCGGAAACGTATACAATAAAAATTAAAGTATATTTGATACATGTCATACACTCCCGTACAATTATTTATATGATCTTATTTACACATTATGTATAGATTTCGTAAAGATCTGTGAAGAAAAAGGATAAAATATCGCGAACATAATTACAAGAGTAGAGTATACACATGTATTTTAATACCATTTATTTGATTTGTTTCAAATATGTAAGTTGTAGACTTTTTTGTGTATTGCTAGATGTAAAATAAATTATTTCTCTTTGTATATAAATTCCAATATAAATAGTTTTATTAATGAAGAAAAATGCTCTGGGAAAAAGACTAAATATACAAACTTTGATAATGACAGTCGACTTATTTGAACTAAATGCAAGAACAATTGAATATATAAAAAGAGTACTATTTTTTATTAAACAATATCCTTTTTATGAATAAAATAAAAAATAAATACTTATTTATGTTTCTTACTTGCTCATATTATCATCATATGCATAACACATAATCTTTAACATTAATATTACATATTAATGTAAAATATGATTAGCCTTTCCCTTACAAAGCGCCCTCTATCGCAACTTCTGTATTAACATCAACGAAATATGGACCTTCATTAACAAATCGCTTGAACTTCTGCATAGTGTCCGCATCGAATACATTTCGCTCCGCTTCAGATAAACATTTCACAACTTCATATTTTGCATCCTTACATTCTTTAAACGATTCGATGTTTCTATCTAATAGAAACTCTATCAAACCAGGATACGTGGATATGTATTCTTGTCCCCATACTTGAGAACTAATAACTGCTAACACCTCTAATCCAGCCTGTCTGATATCAGCGAATGGTTGTCTGCATATTGCCACGATCATTCCCAATGGATCGTCACACAGCGAATCAAACCACAGCTTTGTTAAGGACAAAATTCTGTTGTCCTGCTCGACTCTCTTAACTTCGAGTATAAGGACTAGGTTGTTTAGGCCACGAATTCTCAAAGCAGTGGGCATTCTTTGTACAATCTCAGCAATTTTCTTAAGAGCGCCCGGCATCGCGTCTCCGAGAGCTTGCAACGCATATTTTCCTTCAATGCTCGCAGATACAAATCCCAGAGTATCTAACGCAGGGCCTAGGATATTCTGATCTCCACTATCTATCACATCAAAAAGTGCGGAGATTATCACGGGATATCTGGCAAATAGTTCGTTGGGCCAATGACGGGCAACGTTACCGAAGAACTTCATCAAGCCGGGTATCAAAAGATTTGACAAGGGATTCTCATTGACTTGTGATATTTTTTGGACTAATTTGCTCAACACCTCTTGTTGCTCCAGATAACTTAAACCTTCTTCGAACACAGCTAATTGAGTTAATATTTCCAAGGCATTCAACTGAAGCAGTATATCTTCGTTTTCTAGTACATTGATTAAACTGTTCAGAAAGCCTGATTGGGCTGATACTTCCAAAGCCTCTTGAGATGTCTTGGCTATGTCCACAATCACTTCATAAACACGAAAGCTAATGGTATCATTCTGTAACAGTCTGGCAAATGTTCTCAAAAGGTCACCTTTGTACAAAATGTGTAGACCATTTGGATTTTCTCCAACTGTTTTCACTACGCTCATCGCGCATTCGGCAACATTCAAATCGTTATCGCCGATTCTGTTTATAATTGAAATCAGAAGAATGGTGTCTGCAAGTAACTGAAATATCTTTTGCGGATGCAAAGCTGTGCGCAAAAACTCACGTAACACAAGCAATCTCACACTAGCATTTGGATTAGTTATTAAAGCAGATACTTCAACTAAATATCTCTGATAAATTTCCCCAGGTTCCAGCATGCTGAACAAGATGGTCAAAATATCGCATATCTGCTCTACAACTTCTCTGTAAAAAAGAAAGGTAGTTCTTTTTGTTCTTAGTAGCAATTTTAGAATATTAAATGCAAAATTTAGTAGTATATTGTATAAGAAAAAGTAGTTACATACAAAGTATTATAACAGTTTAAATAAATATAAAATAAAAAGATTTAAATGTTGGGCCAATCAAACTGTTTATACAACGTGATAATCAAAAAGTGTTGAAACTAATTAACTTATTTATATATACAAGCAAAATAAAATTAATGTAACGCCACTTTGTCAAAGAAACCAATTATTTTATCAATCTAAACAGTGATTATTCATCTATAAATTCCTGTATTCGTTTATTGCGAAATAATATTTATTAATAACAACTTTCTGATTGTCATCTAAATGCTTAATATTTGCATTAATAAGATAAAACGTTCTACATTTAAAAATAAACGATTAAAGCTTACATGAACAGTAATTGACTATATACGGATTACATATCTATGCATAAATTGTTGTTCATGAGAATCGCAGAAATTTCACTTATCATCATACCTGTCGTTCGAGGTTAGCTGCGAATAGAATGGTCTGTAGTCTAAATTACGAGCGATCTGCTCGGCATCTCGGTTGTTCAAAGTGCTGAATTTGATTTTGATGTCCGTGAGGACGTTCTTTCTATCCTCGACATTGTTCAATTCACACAGTTGCAGGATTTTCGCTTGGTACCACTCTGCCATGGTCGACTCATTGACAATTGACACTGTAGTATTTTTTGAGGTAGCGGATTTGACCTAACCTAACCGTCCAACCCAAATAACGACATATACTTTGATTTTCTAATTGGACGTGGGTCACATCATGGAGTCGAAAGTCGCAAACGCTAATAGACTGTTCGTTACTTGCACTTTTTTCGTTTTCCTTCTCAACGCCTAAATATATATTTTTTCTCTTTAAAGTACAAAAATTGTTTATTTCAAGCAATACGAACAAACTTAAGAGTGCATTATTTCATTTCATGCATGGAACGCATGCTGTATTGTTTTATTCTTGTTCGCCGAATTTATTATTAAAACTTAGTAGAGTGCACCAGAGAGGAGTGCACATTTATCTGCATCGCAATAAGGTGTAAACAGTTGTAAATGAGTGTAAATGAATTAGTCTGCTGACTCCGCTTCGTCCGGTTGTGAATTGACGCCGACCCTGAAATGTGTCGTACCGTACATCAGCTGCAAATATAAATATAAGATCATTTTCTACGCAATGTCAGTATCTAACAAAAGTAATTTAAAGAAACGGCATAAAGTGGGAATACAATTACGAAAAGTACAATACTAGTGTTTCAAACTAGAAGGGATATAACCATATAGGTACGTATTGTGATCATAATAAATACTATTTCTGATTATTACGATAAATCAAAGTGTATTAATATAAAGGATATGTTTTACAATAATTTTTCTGGGGTTAAGAGGTTTTAGACGTAGATCAAATGGAAAGGTTTTTTTCAGGTTATCGAGTCTGTAGAAATCTCGCTTTCTCGGAAGAATCGATCTTAAAATGTACAAAATGATATCGAGAACATTTGTGCGCGAGGGTGTAAACACGTTAGAGCCTTTAAAACGCAGCCCGATACAACGGGGTCTTGTAAAAGTAGAGAGGGAGACTGACAAGTCCAGAAAAGTTGCCAATCTCAAGTGGTACTGGTTCGGCAGGTATATAAATTACATCAAGAACTATGAGCATACGTTGGAGCGTAAGTTCCCGCGTACCATGCAGATGTACCGTGTATTCAGTGTCGGCACCAGAGATGTGTACACAAACTTAAAAAGTTTCGTCACTGCGATAAAGAAGCAGGGATCGAACGGCGTAAATAGCTTAACACGGGAACAGCTGCAGCTGATGCACACGATGCCGAAGGATCTGCGAAAACTCTTACCGTTGTTTCTACTGTCGGCTGCGCCGTTTACAAATTACATTATTTTTCCCCTAGCTTTGTACTTTCCACGCTACTTACTGACGTCACACTACTGGACGCTGCAACAGAAGCTAGAATTTATGCTGTCCGATCACAGGGCGAGATTGAAACACAACAAACCATTGTTCAGGTGCATGCAGGCGGAGTTCAAGAGCATCAAAGATAAAACACTTAAAATAAAATGGCGAGACGTTATAGCTTGCTTAGGAAGTGGTACACATCCAACCACCAAGAATATCATAGCTTGTTCCAAGCTTTTTTCGGGTCCACCATATTCTCTTAATAATCTCAAAAGGAAACACCTGGTAAGTGTTTTCACAAATTGCACTCGTTTTTTCTAAATATAAATTGATTCTCCTTTGAGAAAGCTTGTCTCATAATATAGATAATATATATGCTTTCCAGAAAGAATTGTTGGCAATACATGGTATGTCACTATGGAGACCTTTCAAGAGGAAAAGATTGATGGAAAGGGGTATGTTAATATTGCGAATGGATCGTGCTATCGTACGAGAAGGAGGAGTAAAAGAAATGTCTAACGAAGCGATACGATGGGTACATACTTTTGTTAGTTTAACACGCTTTTTAGTGCATTTTTTAAATATAGGCTATATACTAATATAAAAAATGTATTAACGATATTTTATTATGAATTAACTTTTCAGGCATTATCTTTTAGAGGCGTAAATCCTGCAAATATGTCTATAGAAAGTATGAGAAGCTGGCTTGAGCAATGGTTAATAATATCAGCATCTGTTGACCAAAATAATTTATCTTTGTTATTACATAGCCCTATTTTATTAGCTTATAATCATTCAACAAATTGGACTCTTATATATAATTGAAAAACCAACAAAAAGGTTTTATAATTTTTTAGTTTTGTTGCTAAATGTACAATGTTTAATACGATAAATGTTATTTTATTTATACCAAAGAAATATACGAATCATTTGTATCTATTTATATTTATTTATTTAAAAATATATACCAATCATACAAGTGTTATTTATAATTACATAAAAAACAAATACATGTGTCATATGTTCATGTTCATGCGTGTGTGTGTGTCGCATTTTATTTTGTATAAATCTATATAAAAAAAAAACCTGTAACTATTTTATATACACTTTAACATACTATTTTTTGTATACAATTGAGTATAATAATATAATTTGTTATTATATAAAGAAAAAATAAATGCTATTCCAATCTAAAAAAAAATGGCGAAATAATAAGAGAAAGGAAGAAACGTTTCAATAAAAAAAATTCACAGGCAGATCTATACTAATAAAAGATAAGCAAATTGATAATCAGTAGACGTCTTATCTATGTGATTCGTCAAATGACGAGTCCAAATAAATAATATCTTAATTCAAGTTTAAATCTAATAAGTATTAGTAAAAAATATAGATAACCAAATGATTAAAGCACTATCGGTAAACGACTATCAGTAATATGCATAACTCAATTTTTATTAAAACTCAACCTTGACACATTTAAGTACTACATTAATTTTTTTTTATTATTCTTTTTTCGTTAAGTTAACTTAAATATTTTGTCATAAAATATACAATCAAATGATTTTCATTCCTATTAAATAACAGAATAAAAATATTTTACATTTGTCATGCACAAGGAATGAAAATGACTTAAAAATTTCATATACATATAATAATATCTACATAAATATATGATAAGATTAATCATCATACAAAATTTTGTTTGCTATCGTAAATAATTTATTGAAAAAGAAAATTTGTGAACTAATAAATTATTTTTTATTATATGTATTTTTGTAATATATATATTTACAATGTAATTTGTACTATAATATTAATATTTGTAATGTATTTATAATATATTCGAGACAATTGACGTTGGGATAACAAATATCCTAAAATCTTAAAGTATCTTTGATACATATCAGTACCTGATATATTGTAATATATATATA